TGCTCTGCACTGTTTGCCAGGGGATATTTGCTCTGCCTTGTGTGGATAGAGGTAAATGAGAGAAAGTTGAGGACTTCCCACCACCTCCCTTCCCTGGGGGTCCTGCCTGGCTTTCCAGTTGCAGTGTGGCAAGCTCCAGGCACCCTGTCTTGCAAGGAACGGGTGGGGATGCCAGATCCTCAGGGTGCCAGGCTCATTAGTACCCTGGGAGAGGTCCTGAGCTCCTGGCACGTACCAAATGGTGCTGCTGAGGAGGCTGTGTCTGCCAGCGCTGCTCCACTCAGAACCACACATGAGCTTGGCATGGGAGGGAGTTCAAAAGGGCTTGTTTCCCAGGATGTGTGCAAGGTACATCATGGCTTTGCTTTTACTTTACACCAGCCAACTGGGCCCACTCCCACAGCTTCTGGCTCCAGCTGTGGCTGCAGCCTGTTAAGTAGACACATACCTCTCTCTACTGGGCAGCCAGCTCCCAGGAAAGGGTTCCAGCTCCCCCATTAGCTAGAGATCTGGAAATGTAAGGGACACAAATCTTACCTCCAAGTTTTTGTGTTGCATTACCAATGTAGCCCTGGGGTACTTTTTCCTTGCCTCTGTCCTGGCTGAGTCTTCCACACACGGGGTTGCAGGGCGAGCCAGAGTAAGGCAGTTTCAGGCATTAATGCAGCATGGGGAGAAAGAAGAAATGGATTCCCCAAGATATGGTAGACATCCTGCTGCCTTTGTTTCACGCTGAAGGCTGCTGCTCTAGGGTGGAGGGAGGCTGCCTTATTCTTCCCACCTCCAACAAATTTGCTGCGATAGAAGAGATCATCTTTCTGGCTGCCCTGACATCCTTTCACATCATGAAGATTCCTGGAGAAGTCCTAGGTCTTTATCCCCTGGATGGAGCCAGGCACTCCCTGGCCTTCCTTCTCCCTTCTCTTCTGTTTCTCTGCCTCCTTCTTGTCCTGCTCTAATTTTAGCCCAGCTTCCTAAAGGTATTCAGGAAAGACTAGAGTGCATGTTCAACCATTTGCTAGACACTAGAGAATCCACAGTGCTATGAATGTCTTGGTTATGGGAAAAACTTCAGCTGAATCTCATGATTTATTAGATAACAGAGAAGCCACATGATCTCTTTAGGTTTACTGCTGCCTGCTGTCCTGCCCTCGTGCTGGTCTTCCTTTGGTCCTCACTGTGGGGCACTGAAAAATGCTGTGGAAGCCTTCCCTCCAGAGCCTAAACACACTCCCAAACAGGGTGCTAATGCAGATGAATTCAACATCAACAGAAGGCCAGGCATTTCCTGTGGAGAAAACTTTTCTGATAAAGGATGGGGACAAAGTGATGGGACCAAGGCTGCATAGACAAGCAATAGTGGAGACAGATAATGGAAGTCTAGGTCTTTCCATATGGAGATTGGCACACTGGGAAAAAGGGAAAGGGATATCTTAGTTGTTATGCAAGATATATTACATTGGATTTTAATCCTTGTCTGGGTCATTCAGAGAGTTCATATTCTAAGGCAGGGATTGCCTCTTATTTTGCACAGCACCTTGCACAGCCTGATGCCTGCCAAAATAAACAACACATCCTTCTTGGATAGCTTTAAAGAGCCCTAGTAACTGAGCTGTTTGTTTGAGGGGACAGTGATAAGGTCCCTGCTGCAGATCACTCAAGGATCACCAACTGAGTGTGAAATCCTGGATCCCTTTTACCACCTTTCTCCCGCTTCATGGCTCATCCGTGAGCCTTTAGCTGGGACCCATCCATGGTGAATGGACATCTGTTAGGCTGCTGGCTATGTCCAGGGGTGACCAGGCTCTGACAGAGCTTGCTGGGCCATTGAAGACGTCCTGGCTCCCTGTAGTACGACTGTCTCCTTGTCTAGAGTTGGAGCAGAGGACATCCCAGTTCTCAGAGAGGATTTCAGCTAAGGTCTAGGTGGGAGGCTGTGGGTTGGAGTGCAGGTCCCTTTATCTCCAGCCGAATGATTTTGGTCATGGTGGAGCTGTGGGGTTTCTTTCTCAGAAGTTTTGGCAGCTGTTGCATGCATGGGGGGGAGGGGAGGGTCGTGGGGCCAATGCTCTCCCTCAACCCCTGGGAGAGTCTCAAGTGGTGACACAACCCACAGCCCTACTCCCTTGAAGTCAAAGGAAGAGTCTTCGATGACTTCCACAGTAGCTCATCGAGGCCCTTAGTGGTGGAAATACATGGGATTATGCAGCCATGCAAGCGTCTTTTCTCCAGTTGTTTATCACGTTTGGTATAGAGATCAGAATTCTACAAGGGTTTGTATAGAGTGAATAAAAAAGGCTATGATGTCCAGTGCAAAGGATGTATAATTTACAATCCCTCTTTTGTTACGTTTACCCTGGGCTCAGCCACATGTTATTATTGGCCATAAAAATATCCAGTTCCTTTCTAAATTCAGCTACAATGCTTGACTCTCTGGCCTTGAATGATAACAAAATGCACAAACACTTCGCAGACACGATGTAACTCTTCTTCACTGTTTGTTCCAGCACAAATTATCCACAATTTTCAGTTCAATAAAATATTTGCAGTCAAGGAGTTATATGTCACAGGCAGTCCTTTTCAGATGTATTTATCTGTGGTTTGTCATCTAGTTAAGAGATCTCCTAATCCTGCATAAAGTAAACATGAGGGACCAAGCTGAAACTCAAGCACAGAGGGAAAGACTTTATTCAACTCACATGTAGCTATTGAATAAATAACTAATAAATTCTTTGTGTTTAAAATTGCCTTTGTATATTTATAGCACATATATCTTGTCCCTTGGAACAATGAAGGCCTGTGCTTTTTTTACCTTAAAGTAGCACTTGGACATATAGGCTCAAGGAGCCCAGGATCCAAGTTGTGAAGATAGAGATGGGTGGACAAGCTTTGCTGAAGACTAGGATGCAGAGGTCTATATAGCTGTGTTGAGGCCCTGGCCACATCACTCCCGGCTGTCCAAGCTTATTTGGAGGATTAGTTCTGACAACTCAGAGAAATGCTCAGGAGGAACCACATTTTCTACTTTGAGGATCAAAATTCATGTGCTTCTACAGTGGAAGGCAGTTGCAGATTGGATGAGACACGGGTGTGATAAGAGCAGAGCAGAGCTCTAAGACACGAGGGGTTGATTTGCCTGCAGATTTGGACTTAACCCACCTTGCACCTAGGTAAAGTACACCCTTGCCTCACACTACCTGACCACTTACCAAATTTTAATTATGATTTTAATCCTTCTGTGATTTGTAGCTTTCGTTGTATTCCCTTTCCACACTTTATGGAAGAGAAATCCACTGAGGGCTTATAAATAAAGACACTACTTCTAGCTCAGACAGTCCCCAATGTCTAAATGTTGGAAGAGGGCAAACATCCCTGAGTTCTTGTTCTTTTCTTAAAGTATTCCCTGGACATCTGCTACTGCTCACTTGCAGTGAGAATATACTCTCAGGTGAATAGGCTCTTACCTGGCACAACTGTTCCTACAGGGAAAGTGAGATAAACTTGTCAAATCTTTGCCCTTGCAAACACATCGGCCCAAAGGAGCACCTCAATACTGACCCCCTCTTTCACATTAACCCTCTCCACCAGGATGCTTATGACCCTACAACTTCCAGCTCTGATCAGACCAAGCAGCCCAGGGATACCCTGCTCAGTGCCATAATCTGTACAAAATTTGCAGCTGTGCTTGCAGGAAGCTCTCTGCAGCTGACCCCATGGGATGGGCTTGCTGCTGGGCGATGGCCAGGAGTCCATTTGGGGCCCGTTCCTGCCCTCCTTGTGCCACTTTTGGTTTGTGCCCTGTTTCTACATCCTTCACCGTCCAACACCCATTGCAATCTGCTGATGATGATCAGAGACCACCCCACCACCCAGGGTGCACGCCCCACCAGCTGTATGTGTCATGCATAACCTGGTGGGCAGCAAAAGAGTGTTTGAACACCCCACTCCTGCCATCAGAGTTGGGAACAGAGAGGACCCACCATGGTGCTGGCAGCATCTTCCGACGCTGCATCAGTGCCGGCTGCAGGAGGGAAGCAGCCACAGGGAGTTTCTGCAGCCAAGGCCTCAACAAAGTAGAGACGATGAGGTTTGGGGGATTTGGGGGATGCTTTAGTTTCCCTCCCCCGCGCCAGCCTCCTGCCTCTCTAGATGGACGGCAGGAGGCAGGAGCCCTCCTTGGATTTGCGAGGAAGGAGGGACATCTCGTGGCCACGTCAAGAAACATTTCTCCTGGCTCCTGGACAGCACGTGCCGGCTTGTCGGGTGCTACCCGGACATTCTCCAGCCACCACCCCCAGCACCATCCTCTGCAGCCTGGGGCCAGGGAAGCCTCTTCGTTTCCTGCTCCATGAGCTACAGGCAGAGAGGCAATGGAGGGTGCTGTTTTTGCCATGACGCCCCCCTAAAAAGAAGCAGCGTTTGGCCTTAGCCTGTTCTTTATTATTGACTGAGGACGGGAGCACCACAATGAGATACCGCTCCAGAGCTTGGGGACCCCCAGTGTGGTCCAGGGTGGCACGAAGAGGGCATGTTTTCACCCATGCCCATGGCATGAAGGGGGTTGTGGTATTGCTGGCAGTGGCATTCAAGTGAGGGGAGAGATTGTGCAGCCCCCCCCCCCCCCCCCCCACTACCACCCCCCCCCCCACCCCCCCCCCT